TTGCTCCTTCAATATGTTTCCATAACAAGTCCTGTTTTAGAGACAAACATGCTATAACATAGCAGGAAAGGATATTTTCAACAATTCTATGTAGTAATCTAGGTATATTTTACAGTAAAGATAAAATAGGTAATTTAAATACATTCACCCATGTTTACGCATTTTTCAATTTTGTACATCCTTGGAGGGCTGTAAGAAAGCAAAATACATTATGTTGCTTGTAACCATGGTGTTTACATATCAGAAGATACTTTCATACAAACAGACTGTCTTTGTCTGTCTCTGTCTCACTGTGGTTAATCCAGTCATATTGTTTGCTGTGTGGAATCATAACTGCATTAACATGTGATTTTTCTCATCCAACTAATACAGCCAGTTATAGATTATATTTCAAAATAAGTAAATGGGGATTGTGATCTAAATGAACACAACTTCTGGCTTTAATATAAGTAAATAACTACTTATTATAATTAATAATAATTGGAGTAGGCCGTACATCTTCACTAGATCAATCTTAATTAGATGATGACCTTAACTGGAATTTTACATACAAAGAACCAAAAATGGGTTAAATGCACAATGACAACAAACATATTTACCTTTGCATGTAGTGAGTAATTATATGCCTGTGCCGAGATTTATGCACACACCAAGTGTTTAGTTGTGGCTGCGTATTGCCCCCTGAACCTGCCTGAGCATGAGGAGCTGACCCTGGTGCTGAAGTGATTCTTTAACGGATGCTTCCTTCGCTATGCCACACATTCCTGGTTTGTGTGAGTATCAGCAAATATATAATACATAAATATAGCCAAACAGAATTTTAATTAACTTAACAGCTCAGTTTAAGCATGAACAGCTTCCCTCTAAACCATAAAGCCAGTACGGAGCAAGTCTCTTGAAGTCAGGACTTTTTTGCCATAAAATTCTAAAAAGAAAAGTAAATATAACAGTCACATAATCATGCAGCTCTTGCTCATGCTTTATCACCTTCATTCTTTACTATTTTAGAGAAAGGTTTGTGTAAGATCATGGTGGAGAGTGACAAGTGGACAATTAAAAATGGTGTTGCGGTACCACAAGTACAAGTTGTAACCTTGGTAAATGCATTTTAAAGATGCAGTTTCATTGTCACATTTGAAGATCATCATGTTGCATTTCAGTAAAGCTGTAAAAAAAAAAATATGCTGGCTCTGCTCTAAAAAAAATGCTCTAATTGAGTTGTAGGTTGGGTAGACAGACATCAGCAGTATGCATGTGTAACCATTAAGTGCACTTAGAGGCTGTGGATGACAACATCTTTGAGAACGCCACTCCCATTAATGCTTTCGCAAAAAATACATGTGCACTGCACCAGAACTGCTTCTTATAGTGTGTTTTTTTTACCTGGTCTCTGCAGGGAAATTAACCATGGACCACAAGTCATCAGGATATTGCATGTGTGTTCTGTTTAAACTTTCCCCATTCATCACACACCAACAGGGCAGAGCTCATGGGGTGGCCAGAGGGTGCCATGGAGACGTTAAGGGGTGGCAGAAATATGCTGATTTAAACAATATTTACAATATATTTATATCAATATTAGCTTGGAAAACTCCCTAAACTAAGATATTTGAACTCAAAAACATTACATTATTGTAACACAGAATAGAAAGCACTGAATAGAAATATCTAATGGTGGCATTCTTACAAATAGTCTTTTTTTGTTGGACTTAACTCTAAACAGTCTAAAATGTGGCCATAACAGATCATTGAATTAAATGTGTTCATTTGTTTTTAACACATTCTTTTTTAAATGAATCTCAATTAATTTGTTAAATCTGACAGGACTTGTCACCAACCTGGGCTGGCAGCTGGGATGGACAGGCATTTCTAAGGGGCAGAAGCTGCTACCTCCTAGATCCACCCATGCAAATAAACACCAATACATGCACTGTGAGCAGAGGATTAAACCAGAGACCATGTTAAAAGAGCTGGCTGGGTTATAGCTAAAATAAAGAGACAATGTGTACAACTCTCATCTTACTTACTGGCCAGGGTGAGGATGCACCAAGATAGGGGGGATACAGAGGAAGATCCACTTAAAAAAGATACAGGTAGGGTGGGTAGATGGTATGAATAAACAGATTAAATAAAACCCTCTAATGTAAAACACACACAGTATAGACAAAACCTTTGGCAAAACAGCAAGTTTTCTACAAGAAAAGAACAAAAAAAGCAATTACACATTGAAGAATGACATACATTTTTTTTACGTTTTACCTCTACTGTAACCAAATGTGTTCCATCGGTTCTCACCCAGGGGAGGAGCAGTCAGTCACATCTGCAGTCAGCGACATCTGCATAAAGGAACCAGTGACTGGAAGAAGTGTGCTGCCAAAATGCAGAGTATCCTCGATACCTCCGTCATCATCAGTCACAAATAACCCAGGGAATGTGCTGGCAGTCAAGGGAAGACCTGACATTAAAACAAGTCAGCCAGTCGTCCAAAAGCATAGAAGGGTTATTAAGTAGCTCAAAATAGCTCTTAACACAGGACCAAGGCATAAGCAGCAGTGTCTTCAACAGCCTGAAAATGTATATGTAGAGCATATATATGGGAGCATAAGGAAGCTTCACCTGGTGCCTATTTGAGCCTAATCAGGCTTAAGGTGGACCAGGTAACCCTTCTAACACATCCATCCATTTTCTATGACCTCTTCAATTATACAAGTCTTGAGCGACTTGGGCTTACTTCAGCATGCACAGGGTGAGATACAGTTCACTCCTGTGAGTTTCACTGTTTCAGTACATTGTGTCAGAGCCTGTGTCAAACAGAGAATGATGATGACGTCTGAAGCTTCAAACACCACTGGTGCTTCAGACAGCTTCATTCAGTTCGGATGTTTTAAACGTTTTGCAGGTAAATGGTGCGATAGGTTCATTAGTGGGCAAAACATAATCAGATGTATGAAGACAATTCCACCTGATGTCAAGTAATAATGTAATAAAAGTAATAGGCTCTCCAATCACATCACGTAGAAACGTTAAATAGATATCAACCATAAAGTCCGACTGAGACCACAGTTACACTGGGCCTCAATTACACCAATAAGGTACATTTATCAGAAAAAATATATCATATCTAGGCCTATATATCTTGGATTATACATGTATGAATCATTTTACTGTAACATATTGCACAATAACATCTACATTAATTAAACAAAGGGTCTTACAGATTTAATAATAACACACAGGTTTCTCGGACACATATGAGACTAAAACTATTAAAATGAGAGAGGTTGACATTCTGGGTTTGAAGCCCCAAAGCTTTGAATTTGATTTTGGAACAAATTGAAAGAAAGGCTTCATAAAGCTTCTTCTGCCCATCAGTATCAGTGTGGTCAACCACATATACTCACATTACACAGTGTGAGCACTTGCTTGTGTATCCCTAATTTCATCATGTTTTTCCTTGAGTTTTGACCACCAGCTGTAAGGTTGGAAAGCTAATTCATAGAAATTCAGCTCTTAGAATAAGTGAAAAGGGGGGATTGTTGCATTTTGTGGAAATATAAGAATGAGCCCTGGAAGCAGAAAGCTGAATTGTAGGCTGAACCTTCCTGTGACAAAGGCAAATGGTCTACCCCTGAATCATGTATGTCGATTAATACAACCTCAGTATTTATTTATTTTACTTTATATTAGGCTGTATTCAACAGACTATCAGCCTCTATATGTTTCCGTGCCCATATATGACCCTATATCATGTTTCTCTCCAGGATACAGCCTACTGTAGAGAGGAAATTAGACATGTGCTTTGTGGGGTCCACCACGGGCATCTTAAATACGATTATGTGACCTGACAGTCCGAGGTCTACCACTGACAGTGATCCATGTGCAGGGAAGGTTGTGATTGTCAGTGCAATGCTTTCTTTCTGCTACGCCTTGCCCAAACGCTCGCCATGCGGTAGGCTGCGCTGCGGAATCGCTACCGGCAAATGAACCATCCTTGCGTCTCCAGTGCAGACAAAGGAAGACAAACATAAGCCTGTCCCCCAAAACATGTGTCTATCTGTGTGGCCACGCTTTTTGTTTTTCTCTCTCGCGTATTTCTTCCATTTTGGGGAAGGGGGTGATGTTGAATATTTATGCACATTACGCTTTGACCTTGCCTTTAAGAGCAACAGAGTCCAGACACATTTAACAGGGAGGGGGGAATTAAATGTTTTAGCCACATCTGCGGGTTATATTTCCCATTCAGTAATCCCAGATCCTTAAGTCATGTGCTGCACCGCAATTCTGATGGATGCATGGCTGGTGTAGAGGAATACAGAAGTGTGTGTATGTGTATGTGTGTGGGTGTTTTGTGTGGCCACCGTTCTTTATTCTGGAGGTGCTTTAATGTGTCGGTCGTCTATCAGCTCCCAGACCCTATACCGACATCGTAATGGAGGGATGAGAGGAGAGAAATGGGTGGGGAGGGAGGAGGGGAGCTGCGCCACAGTGGAGAGGAGAGAGCTGGAGTCTGAGTGCGCGCTAGGGTGGGATACTGTCCCTCCAATGTCAAGTCAGCAGCGTTGGATTACATGAATTCCGGTATGCGTTTTCAAAATAAAATCTCTCTAAAGGCATGCTCTGCTGCTGGATTTTCAGTGAAACACATCCACACAGGAACCTTTGGTACATGGTCCATGGCAACATAAGCAAAGTTGTATTTATACAGCGCAAACACTGCACAAAAGTAAGTGTAAGACTATGTGTAATTGAAAAACAATTAAAAACTAAACTTTGATTTAGGATTTGATGAAAAACCTGACAAACTATGACTCCCAGTCCCTTATTTAACCACTTAACTAAAATCTCTCCAGTTTTGGGCTTCCTGGACGCATGTCTTCCTTTCTTCCCTCTAGTAGAGCTAACTGAATTTACTGGAGAGAAAAAAATGTGACGCTTTTAATTATTTTATTTCGAAAGGCACACGCTTCTGTTCCGGTTTCATTGGCGCAGATTTCCACAGTCTTGACAGATTTCACAGCTCCAGAGGCAGGGAAACACACCCGTCAGCAGCGCGCATTGGAGACAAAAAAGCGCATCACGGACAAAGGAAATATGGGTGCGCTGGAGAGGATTCACCTCAGCCGGGTAACACAATGGATGAGCCGCTTCTCTTTCATTTACCGGGAGACCAATTAGCCCACCTTAATGAGGTGCTGGGATGCAAGATACTGCAAGCTAAAAAGGCGGAAGGCTGCGTTTAATCCGTCTGCGGATCCTATGAGCTTGCAATGGCTGTGGCGGGGATATGCAACTGGATAGGGAATAATGTGCCTTTTTATTTTGTGATATTTTCCTTATTTTGTGGCCTTTCGTTTGGACAGTTGAGATATTCTATTACAGAAGAACTAGAAAATGGGGCACTGGTCGGTGATCTGGCGCATGACTTGGGGCTGGATATTCGAAAGCTCGCCACCCGAAAAATTAAGGTAACCTCCAACAGCGGTAAACGCTATGTGATTGTCAACCCCAAAAACGGGAAATTACTCGTCAATGAAAGGATCGACAGAGAGGCACTGTGTGATTTGTCCAACACTTGCGTCATTAACCTGGAGGTGATGGTCGAAAACCCCACTGAGGTGCACCCTGTCGAGGTGGAGATTGTGGATGCCAATGATAATGCGCCGCAGTTCCCCAGAGACGAGTACCAACTGGAAATCATAGAGTCTGCTTTACCAGGATCTCGTTACCCGATTGAAAACGCGCAAGATCCAGACATTGGGTCCAATTCAGTTCGTATGTATCAACTTAGCACAAACGACCATTTCGCGCTGGTATCTAACAAACCCTCCCTCAATACGAAGCACATCGAGCTTGTGCTCAAAAAGCCCCTTGATCGCGAACAGACGCCTTACCACCAATTAATTCTAAGTGCTGTGGATGGTGGCACGCCAGAGAAAACCGGCACGGCTAAAATCAATGTCCGGGTCCTGGACTCTAATGACAATATGCCCACGTTTGACAGCTCCGTGTACAAGGTGAAACTGTTGGAAAATTCTCCCAAAGACACACTGGTAATTAAATTGAATGCAACTGATCTAGATGAGGGCACAAATGGAGAGGTTTACTACTCTTTCAGCAGCTACACTCCAGAGAGAGTGAGGCAGATGTTCAGCATGGACACTAACACAGGAGAAATAAGAGTTAGGAGCAATGTTGACTATGAAGAGACCAACTCCTATGAGATGTACATCCAGGCGATGGACAAGGGCCCTGGGGCCGTGGCATCACACTGTAAGGTAGTGGCAGAGGTGGTGGATGTGAATGACAATGTCCCTCAGATAGTGTTGTCATCCCTGTCGAGCCCTGTGAGGGAGGATGCCCGTGCAGACACAGTCGTGGCCCTCATTAGCGTTACTGATAGAGACTCTGGCGCTAACAAGCAGGTGAGCTTAGAGATCCCAGCAGGCCTTCCTTTCAAGATCAAGTCATTCAGAAATTACTACACTCTGGTTACCTCAGCCTTCCTGGACCGCGAGACCACCGATGCCTACAATGTCACTCTGAGTGCCACAGATGGAGGGAACCCTCCCCTTTCCTCCCAGAAGACCATACAGGTGGATGTGGCTGATGTTAATGACAACCCACCGCGATTTGAGCAGACTTCATATACCGTCTATGTGGCTGAGAACAATGCCCCTGGAGCCTCTTTGTGCACCGTGAAAGCTCAAGATGCAGACATCAAAGAAAATGCACGCATCACCTACACAGTGCTCAATGACAACAACCATGGCATCCCTGTCACCTCGTATGTGTCTGTGAAGGCCGATACTGGGGAGGCTTATGCCCTGCGAGCCTTTGACTATGAGTCACTGAGAGAGTTTCACTTCCAGGTCAAAGCCCAGGATGGGGGCATTCCTCCGCTCAGCCGCGTTGCCACAGTCTACATCTACATAATGGATCAGAATGACCATTCACCATTGATAGTCAACCCTCCCGGCAACGGCACACGCTCTTTGGAGACTGTACAAAAGAACGCAGAGCCTGGTGTCTTGGTGACTAAAGTGGTGGCATATGATGCAGACGCTGGTCCAAATGCCTGGCTGGTCTACGTACTGGAGACGGCCACTGACCTGGACTTGTTCAAGGTGCACGAACACACCGGTGAGATCAGAACCACTCGGAGGATCCTGGAGGACAACTTCACCTCCTTTGCTCTAACCGTTGTAGTGAAAGACCATGGGCAGCCTACTCTCTCCTCCACCGCCACCATCAACGTGGCAGTCATGGAGGTCCCACCCAAAGTGGCTCCCGATCCCAAGAGGATCATCCGACCTCACAGCACGCTGCTCTTCTCCAACGTGACCCTCTACCTGATTGTGGCTTTGAGTGCCACCACCTTTGTTTTCCTGGTCACTGTGGTGGTGCTGGCAATAGTCCGCTGTCATGCCTACTGCACCCAGCCTGGATCCTGCTCTCCTTGCTGTGTGTCACAGAAGCCCCCTCCAGATGGTGGGAGCAGCAGCGTAAGTGCTGGTGGGGGAGGCGGCGGTGGTGGAGCCGGGGCACAGCCTAATAACAATGTGGTGCTTCGGAGAGACCTTAAAGTGGAGCCTCACTACATCGAAGTGCGTGGGAATGGCTCCCTAACAAAGACTTACTGCTACAAGACCTGCCTGACAGCCACCTCTGGCAGTGACACTTTCATGTTCTACAACACAGGACGTCCCATCAGTGGCACCTGGGGCAGCGGTGCCGACCGCTTCTTCACCAGTGGAAGTGGATTTGTACGCAGACTGAGTATGCCTGATGCCTCGATGCAACTCTGCCCAGAGGTTTGTCATTAATTTTTTATGTTCACCTTTGTCCGCATAACTGGAAGGTCATGAATCATCATGTTTACAATTTAGGGGCTTTAATGAATTTTTTATTTAGTTCCAAACAATAGAAATCCCCTTTTAAGTACATACTAGACATGACTTTCCATTAAGGTTACTGCTACAACATGCATTGTTGGCGTAATGTTTGTCAGTGTTATGTTTTTATAGCACTGTGATGATATTCCTGTTTGTCTAGTTTGATACCCCCTGCCATGAATTGACTCCTTGCAGGCCCCATTTTCTTTGTTCGGTTCCCACTTGTACTGTGCAGTCACTCAGCCCAGCCTAGCTCAACACTCACACTGCATTAGTGTCAGGCCTGATGCTTTTCAGGGTCCTGTGTTATTTCTGATGATTCAGAGATTTGTGTTTCAGTTTGAGGTCGTCATCACATTTACACTGAGAACAGGTCACGTATATCCTTCACTACTTGCTCATTCCCAGTGCAAGTGGGTATGACACTGTGGTGAGACTAGGTATTGAGATTTAATCATGATACAGATTCTTTATTTTTTATTTTATTTTTTGTTCTTAAAGGCTACATTACGCAAATTATAGAGAGATTGGCGATTCAAATATTGGAATAATATCATTTTTAATGTCAGATTATTGAGGCAAAGGCTTCTAGGGTTAAGAGGGTATCACTGGATGCATCATCATAATTATCAGGTGCCAGTCACTGGTACATTAGTTATATGAAAAACTCTTACCAAGACAAGTGTAGCAGTGTAAATTAAATTAACCTCCAGCCTCTGTTCCCCAGCCCTGCAAATTAGATTTACTCAATGAGGCTGGGTCTACCAGCACAAAATACTCCCCTCTGAATTGAACTGAGGAACATAATGTGCCATCTTTATCTGGGACACTTGCTACTGCTTGAGCAGGTTTGTGCTTTAAACACAGCTTTTTTTATTCAGTCCTCTTGATGTCTAAGGCTGCAAACCACATGATGCTGACAGATTTTAGCATTAACTGTAATACAGATGTTTCCTTTGTTTCATGCGGTGCATATGCACAGTACCTACTCATGAGGAAAATAATTATGAAAGAGTATAATTAATGGCCATGGAGGATTGGCTCATTAAAAATATGACTTTTCACCCTATGGTTCTTTAAGGCATAATCATCATAGTCCTGGCAGCCTTATCATGCTGACTCCAATAGCCCAAAACTAATGTAGGGTAGTTTAAAATACATTAAAATAGTTAAATTAGTATGTGACTAAGCAGTTAATGTGTACAAGTACTTTGAATAAGTGTCATTTTCTTTATCAGGTCTTAAGTGCAAACGTGTACTGCCAAAAAAGCTGTCTATACAGTAGTTTCAGTTGAATGATAGTAAAGTTTTGAATACAGTCATCATAATCAAGTACGTTTCCAATAGAAGAAAGATGGAAGAAGATGGAATCAGTTAATACAAGACTATACAGTGATCATTTGTAAATTACTATTAAGGATTTATCCCACACATCGTCTTCTATACACGTAATATGATATTTGTACATATGATTGCCCTGCTAAAGAAGACCACAGGATGTGGTTGCCCTGGTGATGGTGGCTCTTGCTTATTGGTTTTTAAAGCAACAATCTACCAGCAGACTACTGGGAGTTTCAAGCACTCGGCCCAGGTTCATAAGGAGTGGACAGATTTACTGAAGTTACACATAAACACAAACACCCTCGCGCTCAGGGAAAGGCATAACTCTCCCAGCTCTCACATTTATAGAGCCACAGAGTGAGAGACTGTCCAAGAACTCACCAATATGGCTTTCAGTCAGTGCCCTTTTTAAAGTCCTTTTTTGTCCATGTCTGTGTGTAAATATCAATATGTATGCATGTGTGTGTGTGTGTGTGTGTGTGTGTGTGTGTGTGTGTGTGACTTGCAATGGGGGACACGACTGCAGTGTTCCTATCACGTCCAGAGCTGGGATATGTGTCATGATTAATTGATGAGACCATGGCCCAGCCAGGCTACACTGTATGAGATCAAACTAAACCCTTTTTCTTCCCTCCTCTCTCTCTCTCTCTCTCTCTCTCTCTCTCTCTCTCTCTCTCTCTCTCTCTCTCTCTCTCTGTGTCTCTCTCTCTCTCTCTCTCTCTCTCTCTCTCTGTACCTCTTGCTCGCTCAGCCAAAAGCCCCGAATGCTGACTGGCGATATTCTGCATCTTTGAGGGCAGGGATGCAGAGGTAAGCACTTTCCATCTTTAACTCTTTTGCAACTTTTGATCATCTAGAAGAAGTTAACACCTATTCATCCTACACACACTGTCTACACCCAGTCTCTGTTACTACTACAGTGAGCCCTCATGTTGCTTACAGCTGCGATGCATTTTATCTAAAAGCAAAATATTTATTGACAGACGTCCCACAGATATCTGCGCCTCAAAATGACCTCTCTGGACATCTGTTGACAACCTTAACCCCATCTTCTTCCTTTGGGAAAAGCCATTTGCTGCTCCCATCAGTGGATGCATAGCACTCTTCCTCTGCAGTGTAATACTATATAGGTCATCTACATTCTGAGCGTTGCTTCCCCCACTTACAGTCTTTAAGCAGGAAGCATGAAGGACAAATGAGCTGACTATGACCTTTCTTAGATTATCAGATGCATACACGCAACAGTGTCTGCACGTACAACTGCCCAGCATGCACATATGTGTGCGTTTCTGTGTGTGTGCAAAGACAGCAGAGGACATTTTGGACTCCATTAATAGTTGTTAATTCACTGGATGTGCTTGCATGCACTCTGTTTTTCCAGATATGGCTTCATAAGGCCTTAGTGCTTGACCAAATTCCAATTATAGATTGATCTAAAGATTGATAGATACACTATGGTTGAACACAATATGCCAATTATTACACTGAAACAGGACTTAATTAGGTTGTTAGCATTTATAAATGGGTTCAGGTTTAAACAAGTGTGTCATCTCCCAACAGTAATGAGAAGGTCTGGAGTATTATATTTTAAAAATGAGAATAAAATATTTGCAGATTCCCATCTTCGTCTTAGTAATGAAGTGCTACACATGTAAGCATTCTCATTAGCTACCTACTACAAATCAGAGAATACCAGATTAGGAGGATCCGTCAACAGTTTGGGTAAAGAAGTAGGTTTTTTTGCATCTACATCTGTCACTTAAAGTTTGTAAGGATCAAATCTCAACAGTTGTATTAAAATATGTAATGAAGTGTTTTGTTAATTTGATATGAGGACAGCTGGAACATCAGGGACCTCCATATGTCTATCATTTGTACTGAATTTTCATAATTGCATGCTAACAATGCTTACTGCTCAGTTGTGCAGTCTTCTGCTCAGTCTAAGTTTGATTTAATCGGATATTAGTGTTAATTTCTATGCTGCCGAGGGTATCATAATGTGCATCATGTCATCAAGTCACTGTAACATGACATGGATTAACATAAATCATCATTGCAATTTGCCGCTGCCATCTCTGAAATGGCAATGCCCGTAACACACATAGACACAGAGAGTCTCATAGTAACGCTTAACCCCAACACACGCATACTGTAATGTATCACACTACACACAGCATGTAGCACCAACATTACTGACCCACATTCCTGGTGTAGTCACTCAGTCAGTGTAGAAAACACCAGTCCTATCTGTGTCATATTCTCACACATTAAACCAGCACCTCTGCTTATGAAAAAGCTTAAAAACCTACCCTGCTCAGAATATACCGTTGCCATTTGATATTCATGACAAATCCCTATTCAACATAACAAGTGTGTAATGCAGTTTGAGATAGATGCTGGATGTGCTGCATTGCAGAGGACCCAGTCAGGGTAGGTCCTCCTATACAGAAAGCTCTATACTCATTATGAATGTATGGGGGGAATCTCAGTCGGGGTTGGAAGCTACGTCCATGCACCTGGCTTTACAGCATTATGAGAGTTTCTAAATTTAAAGACCCATTTTTATTGATTCTGTTGGTCACAATTTGCCTTTATTATTATGTTTCTGAAGGAAAGCTTGGGATTTTTGTCTTTAGCTATAGGTGTTTGCTAACATTATTGTGATTCTTGAGTGCCCTTATTCAAACTGCTTAAATCTGTTTTCCCTTTGCTTTGCTCAGCAATTCAGTATTTACAAAAAACACATTTATACACACATTCATGTAGGAATATTTCTACATTTTGGGAAATAGGCGTATTTACACTTACTGAGAGTTAGATGAGAAGATTGATATCACTTGTGTCTCTGTCTGTTAAATATGAAGTTATAGACACCAGTCAGTTATTTTAGCTCAGTGTGAAGACTCTAAAAAGCTTACAAGCTCATCTCTTTCATTAAGCCTATACAAAAGCGGAACTGTGCAAATGACATTGTGGTTTCACGGGGGCTTATGTGTGGGACTCTTTCTTGGCCAGGTGCAGTGACTTCCTGGATTCTCTGCTGGTTGCCTGGCAACTTCACTGTTACACCAAGACTCCTAAAAGACACAGATTTTGTAACTTTTGGACAGAACCAGAAACATTGTATATTAAAAAGTGTCTACAAAATACAATTTTCTAACCGACCATTTTCCTGTAAGGGTTAACGCAAGGTGACCGTAACAGTGAAAGTACTTGTTCATGCATTTAGAGATGCACCAATCCACTTTTTTTTTAAATTGCGATCTAAATCTAAAACCTGAATTTGTATATCTGCTGATACTGAACTAATTAACTTCCACCCCTTGGAATGTTGGCTTTACACACATTAGAAGTTGCTTTTCTGTGTTTTTTGAGACAATAAATATCTCCAACATGTTGGAAATGCAAATAGCCTACATGTTGAGTTAGCCAACTGTTCTAGCTCACTCAGTAGTAGACTCATGTCTCATGTTACGGTGGGTTCATGGTCAGTTCAGTACTGGATATTTAATTAGCTAGTGCTACAACATTTTGGCTATGGGCCTAAAATTGCATTATTCCACAATTCATAAAACTATCAAAATATGGAATCTGGAACGCTACTTGGATCGGTGACGTCAGTCCGATATCAGATATGTGTATTAGCAGCACTTGATAACAATATTGGACCGGATCGGCCCCAACTTGCATTGCCACCTCTCAGTGTGCTGCATGCCCACGGACTAAGTAGAATGACAAGGTAGAGCTCAGGGTTTCTATTGAAAAAATTTAAAATAAAATAAAAAATTAAGAGCTCCACTTTGATGCTATCCTGGGAGTCTATGTTATGCTTGTAGTGTGAAATTTTAATATTTTTCATTTGGGTGTAGTAGGAGTGTCCTACTTTTTATACACATAATTATTAAAATATAACTATGCAACATGATCAGCTGAAAATACTTACAGCATGCCATTAATGACATTAAATATGTTATGTATCCCAATTGAATATGTAACTAAATGTTATTCAAAGTATGTTGACAAAACAACACAAGATGTACAATAAAACACAAACACATATTGTGTATTTGTTGCTTGCTGTGTAGATGAATGCCAAAGATGAAACCTGACTTGGCAGAATTCTATTTAACTCTTTGTGTTCACTAAAAAGGTATTTTGTTATATTAAGGCAAAGTATTTTACATGAAGGTTGGGATGGTTTCTTTTTTTAAAAAACAAAAAGTGGAAAGTTGTTGCTCGTGGCAACAAGACCACAAGAAATGGGTGACAGTAGGCTTAACCTGGTTTCCCCAGGCAACGAGGGAACTATTGCTGTCAAGGCCTGAAACTGTGACTAATACTGCTTGAAATTCTTACACTGTAAGCTATTTCTTGTGTTGGATTATGATTTTCAGTTACCAAATATCTATACTATCAAGGAAAACAAACTTCTTTAAAGAAGAAATAATTAATAGCTGGAGGTTTGATTTTGATTTTATTTGATGTGTCTCACTAAGTTTGCTGAATGTGTTCTGGCTTTCAGCTCTGTCCACATGGAGGAGTCCTCTGTGATGCAGGGAGCACAGGGGATGCTGGTTCAGAACTGGCCCACTGTGTCCAGCGCTGCAGGTGAGTATGAGTGTAGGGTAACTGGAGGATAAATGATTTTTCCTTGTTGTACTACCACATCTATTTAAATTGAAGGAAACTAAGCAAGATGCTTTAAAATGTATTGAAAGTAGAGGATGTTTAAGTCAGGTGTACTGAAATATCTTTATATATACTGTATATATCATATGAAACTAGATGACCTAATGCATCTATTGGTACCAATGTCATGCTGGCATTTAAAGAAGGAAAAGAATGCTGCAAAGTTAGGCAACAATTTGGCAATGAAGAAACTTGTATGGCCATATTCAAATGGATCCCTTGATCTCTGACCTCAAGATCTCTGAATGAAAATTGGTTGTATGGGTACAAGTCTCCCCTTTGCAGACATGCCCACTTTATGCTAATCACAGTTTTGGGGTGTAGATGTGTTATTTTTGCTATATATATTATATTGGAATATTTCTGCATACTGGGGTCCATAAAAAGTACTGGAATTTTAAATGAATTGGGATTGACTGGAAAGCTGAAACACATACATCATGTCCTACTGGTGCCACCCCAGTCAAAAATTATGTGACAGTAATCAAAATTCGGGTGGTCCAGGAGTAAAGTTCTTGCCCACCACCACAGGCATCTGGGAGTTGAACCTCTGGTACCGTGGTTGTGCCTGTCAAAAACATAATGGATGGGAAAGCCAGCGAGTCTTGTTCTTGTCGTTGCACTTGTGACTTGTATTATCTCTCCCAGAAGCTAATGGCTGGCAGGTGAAGAGAATCAATAATAGGGTTCATAAATATAGTACTGTGGAAGCTATTAATATATACCAAAAACAAATTACACAGAAGGACATAACCTACCACTGCCCATACTAAAAACTATTGTGTTAGCTATTTGAGTAATCGTATAGTTAGACAATGGCAACCATGAATGAGTTGAATATGAATATTTTTTAGATGATGTATGTTCTGTCGTGCCCCATAATAAGCAAGACATAATTTTAGACAAAGTTAAGTCCTGAAGGAAGATAGACTACACTATGGTAATCTTGCTCAATTGGTAATTAAGAATTCTTGCAACTTGTGTTGGATTCTCATGCAATTGGCTCTCGTTCATACTGGTTATAGTAACTTTAGTAGTAAATGTAATGTAAAAGTTGAACATCTTTGAAAATAAGCTTCTCATTCTTGTTTTCTTGAGGTGGGAGGTTTGATTTAGCCCTCATGTCTGTATGCTAAATATGAAGCCAGAGCCAGGAGACAGCTTAGCAATAAAGACTGGATAGGTACAAAGGTACAAAGAAAATATGCCTACTAGCACCTCTAAAGCTTGCTAATCGACACACTATATCGCTTTTGTTTAATCCATACAAGAACCAAAGTGTAAAAATACAAAAATAAAATAATACAAATAAAAGTTGCAGTGTAAAGGTTTCAGTTTTACATTTTGTTTTTTGTACACATTAAATAAACAATATATAGTGTTTAATCAGTGAGCTGTAGAGGCAGACTTTTGGACAGAGTCAGGTTAGCTGTTTCCCCATAATTCTGGTCTTTATGCTGAGCACAGCTAACAGTCTCTTTGCTCTAGTTTCATATTTACTGTACAGACATGGCGTACGTTAATATGTAGGATAATATTGGTTGAACCATGGGGGCACACAACAAAAGGGGTGAGACGATCACTGACGATCACATTTTAGTGTCAACACACCTAAATGCCCATTACAATCACAAATTCAAATTTGACCGTTTAATTAAAGTCTACTTAATATGTTGAATTCATCATTGTTTTTACTTTGGTTCAGATAATATGGTAAAACTGGTGATTTGCGAGAATTGTCCTTTGAATATCTACATGATCTTGAATTCCAGTGTGATGTTCATGCAGAGCTTAGCTGAGGTGCCAAAAGCCTGGGGCCCTTATGCAGAGCCACAGATAAAACACTGCGTCCTCCCATAAAAGCAGCTGGCAGCATGGAGAGCCACAGACTGAAAAGGCAACTGTTTTTTAATGACAAAATGAGTTGTCCTGAGTGGGTGGCAACACTGAAAATGTGTAGCAACACAACATAAGTGCAAACAGAACTGGCCTAAAATATGACCTGTGTTTCTCCATTCACAGACACAATGTCTCAGAGTTAATGACTAACAGCTTTTGTCGGTTTACTGGAAGACCTTTGTAAGTACGATTTCAAAACAGTGTTTGGAGCATTGTGAGCTGCTCCCTCCGCCCTTCAGCCAAGCTTCTATTCATTGATTTTCTGTCTAGCTGCAGGAATTAAAACATAGGTACAGACTTGAGGGTGAGGGGTAGCATCACAGTCAATCACTCAACAAATCAGTGACAGAATATGTCTTACTGTCTGTCAGCTTTTCTCTCTGTGGAAAAGAGAGCTGGGGAATTGTTCGAGATACAAGCTGTACCAGTTTCCAGTGTCTCTCTGTTGGTTTGCTGCGGAGAAATGTGTATTTTTTGTTAGAGCAGATGGAAAGCTCTCATGGTCATGTAAAGACTCAAATATTGCCCTAAAACAGAGTGCACAGCGTGTACTGCCGACCTATCAGAGGTGCATGGTTGCATTAGGAAATGATTTGTTATGAGTGGCTCAGTGCTAAGACACAGACATGTACTGGATTGCAGGTTGATCCTCTTTACTATGCACGAAGAGGTGGAGCCTTTTTTGTGACACATTTTCATGTCTGCGGTAAATTGTTATTATGATTAAGTTGTCTGATATGCTGGGATGCATCTAAATGCGGCACCCTCAGAACTGTGTTTATGTAAGTGACCCATGGCGCAGATGAGGAGACATTTGTCTACTGCCAGAGGGGAAGAGAAGCTATAATCAGTAATAAGAGAGTACCATTCAAAAAAAAGAGGGATCCAGTAACATTAAAAGCAATTTTGGAGAGGAAGAGCAGAGGAGACGTACAGGGGGATGGAGGAAAAAAAAAAGCGAGGTGTGGGGGGATGGAGAAAGAGAAAGGTTAAGAGGATTGGCAGGTTCCTGCAGTAGTGTTGTTGCTAGGGAACGCCATGTGACCTGTTGCCTGGCAACACTGTCTAACTGAGAGATTGCTGCAGCAGCCGCACCCTCCATCAGCAGGGAGTGGGCGAAGGCAGTTTCCATGGCAACCGGTCATATCTCTGAATGGAAGATTTAGAGACAGAAAAAAAGGAGTAGGGAGCGGAAAAGGGAAGGGGAGTCAGCAAGGGGCAGGTATTAAGAGCAAAAAGAGGGCACGCAGTAATTCAGAGGAAATACTGAAAGAATGGTTTTGGGTAGATGGGTCTCATGCAGAATACATGCGATGTACTGCATATATTTACACAAACCACCAGAGGGATTCATTTTAGATGGAATGGTATCTTGGACTAGACAGGAAATAAGACAGCCTATTTTAAATGTAGGACATCAGGTTACATGGAAGGGGGTTCAAACGCCCACATATCTACATCAGGTGTCATGGCAACCTCCTCACAAGGAGCTGTACTGACCTGCTTAGCAGCAGTAACACGATAATCTGTTTCAGATGCGTGTTTGCTGGGAAATTTGGGCTACTATGAAGCAGTGGCAGAGTTACAAATAATCCTCCACGCTAGAGAAACAGTAGCACAGGGGAAGCAAAGCTCTTCATATTTGTACTCTCTCTGACTCCTCTGACCTGCTCGTTATAAATTAATTTTTCTCACACACGTGTACACACACACACACACACACACACACACACACACACACACACACACACACACAACAGGAATAACTCAGATTAATACCTGGGCTAGGATTCTAATTAACAATGTCAGGGGTTTGGATTTGTCACAGTCAGTGCAGAGAGCCCGGGGATGTCCCAAGACGCCAAGACAATATTCACTTGATTAGGCCCTACACAGCCACTTGACATTCTAGCTCCAGTTGGTCATGCAAAGGGATATGAACTTCTCTAGCCCCATCAGGTGTACATAAAGCTAAAAACTATACTGTTGTGAACAGCACAAGTTTAACCATGTTTTACGTCTTGTTTATTCTACCATAATACATTGTCCAGCACTCAATCTAGCCATTAGCTGACCCAACAGCCACACACTGTGATCAAATCAAAGTATCTAAAACTGGCCAGATTTGTAATAAGTTAATATTCCATTAATGCCGCAGAGGATGAAACCTAATGGTTCAGTGAACCCCTCACCTTCTCCAACATGTAAACTTTGCACACAGAAATATTTTGTAATCTAACAAACATAGTGATTGACACATTTATGCTCCCAGATGCTCCCCTATTTGTTTTAAGGGAATGTCTCAGTATATTTCAACCTGGCAAATTATTATGAAAAAGGCCTACATTTTAATCCCCATGCAACATGGCTACTCCACTGTGCCACTTTCTGTGTTTACTTTTGATTGGACTGACTTACTTGGAAAGCAGTACGAGGCTTGAGCAGCTTGCCCCAATATATCTACAGCACAGTTAGCAGGATGCATAGTCACAAAGGCCACATTTATGTAAAATAAACAAGGATGAAATATATTGTAATTTTACTTGAATGGCCCCATGACTTTCTTCTAGCACCCTCATTAGGATGGATTAGGTTTTAATGCTATGGTTACATATAGCATTATGTAGCCTAAAAATGAAATGTAAAATGTGAAAGGAAGTAGCCTTTGTAATCTGTCAGTACAAAACTTCCAAATTCTTCTGACTGAACATCAAATCACAATCCTTTAAACAGTAGCATCAGGTAACAGGAAATTGTGTGTCAGTTATATAAAATGGAGGTGCTTTGTGTACAGCAATGCAATGCACTGCACAACTGGCTCGATAAGCTCATCCACATTCTGCCTCACAGTATTTTTCACATCTCCTTTAACTCACCGGCTGTCTTTTCAGTTTATTTTAAGCATGGTTGTCCTCCTCCACATGAGAAGCAATCTTCCTAACCATTGAGAGCCATTGAATGGGACTTAAAATACCAGATCCTCTTCCTGGGTTTAATACCCAGATTAAATACAAACAGCTCTGTCTGTACCATCAAATGTCATAATCCTCAGAAACAGACTAGCATTACAGTATTAAAGCGTTAACTCCACTAATGGTAAGATAAGATGATAACATCTGACACTGACTAATCATTAAACAAGATAAATTACATAGGTCAAAATTAGCTGCGTTGAATCTGGAATTTCCTCCGCAGTGGTTTATTTGTTATCCTGGCCCTTCACATGCTAATTATTTAATGTAACTTAAAAATGAATACTTCTATTTTTGCAAGCAGAGAACAAATTATTTATGTGCGTGTGTCCTTACGTTCTTTATTACATTTTCATGAGTCAATATATGATCAATTCTTAGTGAGTCATGGCTCCATAATATACGATAGCACTCTGTGAAAGGTGCTCCACTTTGCAGGAGTGGTTAAACAGGGCAAACATGCAGAGCTATCTATTGAGCAGTGTGGTAGTGCCCATTACATATGCTCTTATTATATCCTACACTATATTATTCATTCTCATACTTGGTAAGCTCACTGTAGGGAATCAGTGGGACACTGTGCGTATGGACAGTGTGTATTTTCAAAATAGTGTACTTCCCAACGGGACAGTGGTTGAAATCATTTCAGTTCTCCAGCAATGTCATAAATAGCCTACAAAGAAAAATCAAACAGAATCTTTTTAAAAGGGCTTGTGTTTGATCTAAATAAATTCCAGACGGAAAGTAGGTCAGTGCAGAGGGAACTGGTGTGGGCCTGAGAGCACCGTGTCTGCAAAACCCGCCTACCCCCATCTTTCTTACTGTCTGTCTGTCTCTCTCTGTCTCTCTCTGTCTCTCTGTCTCTCTCTGTCTGTCTCTCTCTCTCTCTCTCTCTCCTCATCTCATCTTTCTTTTTCATTCTGGCATCTTTAACCTTTTGACCTTAATAGGCATGTCTTATTTTCATTTTACATAATCATTTTTCTATATATAGGCTTCTTTTTCCAGTATCTCTTTTCCGACTTGCTGTCTGGGTTCCTTTCTCTGTCACATCCATGCTGGAGCACTAAAGGTTGAATCCCTGTCTCTGGACTCCTGTGAGAGTCGGATTAATCTGCTGCCACCATCCAAATACAAATACAAACACAAATCACATTGCCAAGTTAAACATCCCTGTGGTTTAAAAGGTTACTCCCCTTCAGTGTTCCTTCCTGTGGTCTCTGAATTGCTGTCCTGAAAATATCCTCTCCCTGTGGTTATCGCTCCATGTCAGGCTATTATTGTACTCACTTTTGCTTGATTTCAATTATTTCTTAAATTTCAGATTTTATGAACATCTCAGAGATAATAAAGTAAGGAACAAAGCATGACAAGCAAGACAAGTGGTTATTAGAAAAACAATTCAAAATGCAAAAGCTGATCGCAGTGGAATATTTTCCTCTGCGAAGACCAGGTCAGAATGAACTATCCTTCTTCTACCACATGCCAGCACTTTAAATATTACCAGTATGTGTAAAGAGCTCCTGTGGGACTGATACTTGATGATTTTGGGAAATATGCTTATTTGCTTTCTTGCCGTAAAGTTTGATGAAAAGATCAATGCCACACTCTTCTGTGTGGTAATAGGTGGAGCCAGCACAAAGACTGGAAACGAGGGGAAACCGCTAGACTGGCTCTATCCAAAGGTAGGCTAACAAAATCTGCCTACCAACACCTCTGAGTTTACCTACGGGCATTAATAAAGGATAACTTAACTTAACTTAAAGCTGAAAAACTAAAATGGTATATATTGTTTGTGTTATTTGTTACAAAAAGTTTCAAATTGAAAATTTGGCAATTTAAATTTCAGTTCTTGCCTGGATTATTTGCTGGTTGCCTGGCAACATCTCCCCAGATAATAGTCTAGTAGTAGTAGGATACATAACCCCCTGTAAAATGGTAAAAGGCAGTTTTGTATGAATAAAAGGAGATGTAACATGTTTGTTAGTGAGCTGTAGAGGTGCTGGGAAGTGAACTTTGTTACCTTTGGACAGAGCCAAGCTAGGCATTTCCCTAAGCTTTCAGTCTTTGTACTAAGATAAGCTAATGGGCTGCAGTCTGTGGCTTTATATTTTTTCATACGCACATAAGAGTCGTATTGATTTTCTCATAGAACATTCTGCAAAATATAGAACTATTCCTTGAATAAAGCTGTGTGGCAACAGTGATGATTGAATTTCATTCTCTCTTTTTTCATACGTACTTGTGTAGATGGAGAGGGTGGCGGAGAGCTATCACCCCCAGTGGGCGCGGGAGTCGACAGCAACAGCTGGCACTTCAGGTATGGCGCCGGACAAAGCTACGGCCCTCCTCAGGCCCTGAAGCCTGGAGAGATTCCCCCTGAAGCCTTTATCATCCCCGGATCCCCAGCCATCATTTCTATTCGCCATGACGCTGGCCCTGTGGATGACAAAGGTGACTTCATAAGCTTTGGCAAGAAGGAGGAGGCCAAGAAGAAGAAAAAGAAGAAGAAGGACAAGAAGGACAAGAAGGAGAAAGGAAAGGATGACGGGGGAGATGATTAAAGGAGAAGGGGTGACTTGAAAACAGAGCTACCAACAATCTACCATTCCCATAACAGAGCCAGAAAAAAAGCCAAATGCATATTGTAGAACCCAGGGAGCCTCTTTGCACCATATCTGCATAGACGTTGTACAGTGGCCAAACCCTTATTAGACCAGGCCTGGCTTCCTACACCATGTGAACTTGCAAAACAAATGCTTCTCTCTTTTTCTTGGCTCATTTGGCCCATAACATTGGCCTATAAACGTCCAATGTTTATGGTAAACAAATGTTTACTGGCTGGACCAAATTGAAACAGAAAGGGTTTTATTGGATTAGATTAACCTTTCTGTCATTTAGTGCGCCCCCTGCCCCCAGTTTGTATAATAAAAACAAAAACACCTGAGAAGGTGTACTATTTGTATCTGACCATTGTCAGCTGAGGCTGCCTCTGTCAGCATCTCGGTCTTTATGCAGCCCCCCTTCCTTTTTGCCTCACTTAGTTGGAGGTGAAGTGGAAGCCAAACTAAAAAAAATGAAACAGAGGCTTTTGTCTTCGGTATTGTGGAGGCCTTGTAGAAATTCAGAAAATGTGGTCTTTTGTAAAAAAAACAAAATGAAAAAGTAACAACATACAGTATATGTACCATGAGATTAGCACCTTTAAGAGAATGAGGTGGCTGAGACAAGCAGGACCACACTCTAATAAATAGCTCTGTTTCAGTGTAACATAGCACATTGCAGAGGCTGAGGACCTGGACTGGGTTGCAACAACTATGCGCAAGTTCGTTCCCAGGTTAGAGTATAAAGTAGTGGCTTCATAACTGCTAGTTAATTTGCAATTAGCAAGTTAAAAATTCGATTGTACCATGGGTAGATAGGGTGGAATACTACAGCTGTAGCTAGTTATAATATTACGATTTAAGATGAGTAGCCAATCAGTATATAGCATTACCTTGCTGATGGGTACAAACCACATGGATTTGTAGTTGACTAGATTGGTATAGAAATTGCGATTGGTTATTAGAATCCCCAATTGACTATTAAAGGACAATACAAGTTTTTGCATGTTTTAAACCATTCTCTACCAATCCACTTTACGTCACAGACCATTGTATTTGGTGAATTTAAAAGATATTTTATTTTTTCCATAGTTTTTTACACAAAAATAAATTAGCTGAGACTGAACTTTTTTGCATTACAAAATCCATTGAAGTTTAGTTTTATTGTTGTTTAAGGTACATTTTCATCACATGGTAATGTAGATGAAGTGCAGATTCATGCAAAAACTGCTCTGCATAATCACAGTGATGTAATATGGCTAAATTAAACATGGACATAATCCATTACGTATGTCAAGCAAGTCTCAGCACGTTTATTTTAATATTGTATGGAATGGGATGGAAACCAGAGACTGCATAAAAAAAAAAGACACATTAAAAAATATAAAAACTCAATTGGAAAGTCAGTTGTCAGTAGTGTGTAATTTGTAGAAAATGGGTGGAAACATCCAAAATCCTTGCTACAGTCCTTTAACTTGCAAAAATGGAAGTGATTAAGAAAAAAATACGCTGCGAGCAAAAAAAACAAAAAAAATCCTGCTTTACTGTTAGTGAGTGCAATTGTGTGATTTTGTATCATTTGCACCTGCTTTGTTGCTTGCTTAACTATTTAGTTGTTACTTAAGGTTACGTTGTAACAGATTTTTGTGGTGCTACCGCTTGTGTTTTAGCAATGCGTGAATCAGGATTAGTGGCTACTTCGGATATAACTAGGGAACCTATACGTGCAGCTGATGCAACCGGCCCCTGACCTTGCCTCTTCTCTTGGAATACGGCACAGGTCAATGGGGTCTTAATCCCACTGTGTATCTGCACTTCCAGTCTGACACGCACATTAATCTACACAAACACTGACTCTCTCTGCCTTTTGCTCACACATACAGACATGCAAACACACACTCTCTCTCGCACTCTCTTACACGTAGACATACAGTACATACAAACACAAATATATACTAAAAAATTACACACCCCTTTCTGGAATCTCCAAGACTGAAGGCCAGTGTCATCCCTAATATGGGAGTGTATTATATGGCTGGGACGCAGGAACGTTGCTTGTTGCTTCATTTCTGTTCAAGCCTGATCCCTCTACTTCTGTCTTTGAATGTTAAGTAGTTGTTCTTCAGGCCCTGCCCCACCGCCTCGACTGCTTCAGTGCTTGTAGGATTTGCTTGCCCGCTGCCTGTTTCCTCCCTCTGCTCCTGTTTCTTCAAAATCAACATGGTCGGATGACATCTTTCAAGTCACTCTCCTTCAACGAACTGTGCCGTTGTAACAGTAACATTTGTGTATTTGCATATTTACACACAGAATACACACATAGACACATGCACATATACCACACACACACACACACACACACACACACACACACACACACACACACACACACACACACACACACACACACACACACACACACACACACACACACACACACACACACACACACACACACACGCATCTTTTGTTAGGTTCAACTTCAACTGAGCTTAGACGCTTCAGCTAGTGTGTCTCCTCTGATTGCTCACTGTGGACAGCTCTCGTGCATCTCTCACATTGGTTTTACGCACTGAATCGTAAGGACGTCTGACAGGTTAGCAAAAACTGAGATGTGATGAGATGAGATGGAGAGGCAAAAGAGGAGTTGGAAATATAGCAGTCATTGTAGTGTATTGTGTAGATAAGTAAACTACTGCAGAGTTAATTTGGCGGAAGTATTGTAGTTATTCCTGTGTGTCAGCCATTAGTGACAGTTGATCAACTGGGATAGGCAAAAACCACTTACAAAATAAGTGGAGTGCAGTTCAGCAGCAGTGGAAAGAGGTTGGTGGTTGACTTAAAAGGGGGGGGAATTCCACTTAGGGATTAATGGAGGTGAAGCACACTGTTGACATTGTTTATTGTGCACCAGTGAAAAGAAACAACATGATATGGTAGAAGAAAGGAAGACGATACCAGCAAGCAAAGATCAACAATCACAGCTGGAAATAACTTAATATTATACTTTTTTTTATTTTTGCTTTATTGCTAAAAAATAAACATCAGAAATTATGCTGCTGGGAGTAACTCACAAGTTGCAGCGACTCAAGTGTCAACTGTGTGAAATAACTTTATTTGGCCCTGACATTGTGAAACCCAGGTCTAGCAGGGTAAAGAAAAGTTTTTGCGAGCAGTATATTTATATATATATATATATACGTAGGAACAGCATCAATATGATGAAAAGTGTCATAAAATCTCACCTCTGTGTTCCTTTTTTTAGACCATTGTCTTTCCAGTCACAGTAGGGGTGTATAGGTGCTGCTATCAGGCTCAATCCCTCCCATGCACACGTTTCCTTCCCCCTGTGCCCCGTCCTTCAGGTGTACTTCTGTGCTGTCAGATCACCAAGTGGCTGTTTGCATGTTATAAGCAAAGGAAACAGATACTATATAGATACTATATATATACATAGATATGTTTTTCCCACGGGGAAATGCGTATTGGAATACATATACCTGATACACATTCTCAAAGACAATACACACACATTGAACCCACACTCACCCACACATATTATTGCGAACAGTAACTTGTGGAAAAACCTAAAAGAATCACATTTTTTATCCTGTTGAAAATGAATTTAATCTTCTAGATATACATAATGCTATTGTGTTATGTTATGAAATGCTTTTACCCCCCTGTTTTTACCCATATGATTTTCATAGATGAGTAAATCAACCCTTAAAGTTGTGTTAAGCTTTGAAATGATGATCAAACAAACACTATTGTGAAATCAAATCATTTACTCACCCTCCATATCTATCCCTCGCCCAGTAGAGAAAAAATGAAAAAGAAGGAAAAAAAAAAACAAAAAAACATCAAAACACATAAAATGGTATTTAAAAAAAAAAAAAAATATGTCGATGTATTCTCTGCTTGTGTATAGTGAATGTTCCTCAGTCACTGGGTGTGGCAGTGAGTGGCACATACCAGTAGACTGTGACAGTGCAGATCTGTTAATAACTTTTTTTGTACACCTGCTTCATCATTGTAAAGGTGATAATAGTGATTCTTATGATTTCATCAATCTGGTAATGTGTTTTGTTAATAAGTCACAAATAAAGTTTTTCTTAAATATCTTAATATCTAAGCTGTGTTCTGACTTGATTTCAGATAACAGGGGTGCTAACTGATGTGAGAAGAGTGTATTCCTTGCTGTTGGCTTCCTGCCTATTGCTTTCCTTCTGTACTTATGTGTCATGGGACTTTTTTAGTCTTCAGATTTTGTTGGCACAGTTGGCCATTATTTGGAACAATAAATTATAAATTGTATCAAAGGCAGAGTTTGGATAACAGCCTGTTGTGGCATTAATTAGGAAGAACCTGGTTACTACTGTTGATTTAGGTGGAATAGAATGTAGAATGTATGTAGATGTAGAACATTTATTCTCACCACATTGTTGTTCAGTTGTGGAAATGTATGCAAAAAGCCCATTAAACCAGGAAGTAACAGGGCTATACTTTTGAATCTTTCCCGTAAACAATATTGTAGTCTTAAGTGTTACTGGAAATCTCTGGCCATAAACTGAAACATTTTGTCCTTAATTTGAAAAACAGCTCAGTCACACAAAATTACTCAATCACCTCCCTAAACACTCAAGTTCAACTCAGCCAAGTCATAAATATTCTGTTCTTTTGGCTGTAGAAAACCCATTTGAAACTTGCCAAATGACAAACGGATCGAGATCAACAGAAACCCGATGTTAACAACAGAAGGGAATCATCATCCAAGCAGCTGACCTATGACTGAGAAAACACATCAATGGAATGAAAAACAATACTAAAATCTGACACTGGTCACTTATGAAAGCCTATTGAACTCTCCACTGACCTCAGTTTGGAGGGTCAGAAACATATCAGCACATTTCAATGTGGCACAGATTCAAAGAAAACCACAGAGGGTTGTATGCTGGTTAACATGGGAACTTAATCTTTTCCTCTGTTTGAACAAAGAGTTCCCGTTTTGAATGTTGTCTGGGAGAGGTCTATTGATGTCTGTGCCACAGGCTCCATCTGCCTGTAGACTGGAGAAATCATTCATTCACGCCTCCCTTCCTCCATCTCTCCAGCAATACTGACACCTACTGATGAAAGCTAATACCGGCAACTGACCCACATTGTTCATATTCTATAACACAGGAAAATAATGTCTGATAAATGTTTTTTGCTGTAAAAAATAAAAAATACGTACAATAATTTGCAGACATGTTGTTGTATTTGCTTATTGTATAAGATTGGATGACACAAACTCTTACAACTTCACATTCTCTATTGTTTAGCTTCAAAATGAATTGAAAGTACAAATATCCCAATGAAACACAAAAAAGTAATTATTTATCTTAACATTCAATATTGACACAATTCAAGGATAACTTAGAGAAATTGGTCAGTGAATAGCCCCAAAAAGATCCTATAGGCCCTATTATCACTCATATCAGGCAGAAATTGTGGATAAGCAGTATATAGTTCTTCTTTACTTTCTGTACACTCAGTGATTTCTTTAAATATCTTTTCAGGGGTTCAATGGTCTTGAAAATTAAATGCATGAATAAAAAGAAAGAGATTTCTGTTTTGGGCAGTCGAAAATAACTCAAACTCCCAACTAAAATTGTACTAAAAAGCTTTGTTAGAGTATCTGTTTGATGTTCATCTGCCCCTTAGTGGCCATTTTTTAAAATGCAGCTTTAGATTAATGTAGAATCCTGCTCTTTCATTCAGCTCTTACATTACATATTATTGTTGTATCAAATGTATTTGAATCTGAATACACTAGTAATTGCACCAGCACCATCGCAAACACATATTCAACTAAACAATGAAAGTTGTTGGAAGTCAGTGATTTCCTTTATATTATATTAAAGTTAGGATTAGTTAGTATAATCACCTATATGGACAAAATCTCAGCAACTGCTTGGCCAATTTGGACAATATTGGTTGCTGAAATATTGTCCATATAGGTGATATGCTAATTAATGCTAACTATACTAATTGCCCAACATATGCTAATTAGAATCGAGCAGTGTCTATTTGCTGGGGAGCCATACTTTCTAACATAACACTTTGGGGTATTCAACATTTCCAGGTTTACAATGGGGCTCTTTTGGCTGGCAAATGTACTACTGACCTTGCATTATTACAGAGAACTAGTTCTGTAAAATATTGCTAGCTTTCACTAAAAAATCAATGTCTCGCTGTTGCAAAAACAAAGAAAATGGCAACTGTTTAAACCCTGATTCAATGTAGGTACGCAAACAAGTATTAGTATGCAGACAATTTCTGCCTTCCTCTTTGGTTATATATATTTTATCAGCTCCCTGGTGGCCCTTTTTAACTCATTATCAGCCCATTATCACCACTGGAACTGATGATACAGCACATTTATGGACTAGGGTCTGATGAAGAAGACTCTAAAAGTGAGAAATAAAATAAACACTACTAACATTTATACACTTCTCTGTAGTAGAACAAACTATTAGGATGAATAAATGCAAAACACACATAATTCTTACAGTGAGAGTAAAATTGTTGTGCCATATTATTAAGGCAAAATAGGCATTCTCACTGATACACTATTGTGTAATCACCTTGAGGCTATGGAACAGTTTTCTATTCACAAAGTCAGCCTCATGCTCCCCAGGGCTGTAGTGATGGAATAAGACTGCAATCTATTAAACTCTGCACACTCAGGAATCCTCAATTATGAACATATTTCAACAATGTAACTGTATATTTTATTAATTACTGATAACTGCTGTCAAATTTTGTAAACCGCCTGCTATTTGAGATGATCTTACAAGAAATGATACAGAAATGCTACACATTTATATTGTCTATTATGATAAACCACAAGAATATAAAGATACCCTCTATGTCTGCAGCTAGTATAGTGATATTAGAATGGACAACTGGAGTATACATTACCAGTTGGCTGAAAAGTAGGATGTTAATTAAGTGGACTCAATAAATCCACAAACTCCCAAGCATAGCTGTCACACTGTGGCTTAGTGGGGGATTTCAAAATAAGTAAGTAAAAAAATAGGGAAGTTTTTGATCATCAAGCTTGAGATCACTTTCTCTGACTTCATGTTAATTAGTCCTGATTGTCATTTTCACAATTCGTCATAATTGTTTATTCATTATTATTGTTTTTTTGATGGTAATTGGTTTTGATTGAAATGTTTAGGTATCATATTTTAATTAATTGGGCAAGAGAATGGATTGGTTTCACTTCATTTAAAGTTGCCTTTATCATCTGTGTCATACATTATTCTGCCTGCACCCCCCCTTTTGTCATTAGTTGCAATATTGTTCACTTTAATCATTGTTGGAAAGTGCTTAATGTGTTTAGCCAGTGAAGTAGGACTGGGGAGGCAAGTGGACAAAGTATACAAGGCTCTCATGTGAGGAAGGCCCAAACAGATAGTAGAATGCCTAGAATCCAGATTTTGGTGCTACACCCTTGTCTGTAGCAACCTATGATATGTGTGTGAGATTTATCCCCCAAAACAATGTTGGTCAGAGAATTTTCATAGTTAAATAGTTACATTTATAAAAACTGACCCTGCTTTCAATCTCAGAGCATCAAATACTTCCGAAACTAGCCTCAGATTTTATGTCCAAAGGTAATACAGTCACAATGTGAAAATAAATTGACATATTATAAATACTTTATAAATAAATGCATATTAATATTGTACACCTATTTAGTCGTGTATAAAATGTAACCAGCTCCATGCCTGTCCAGATAATATGTAACAGTATGACAGTGATTTTCTTAGTGCTGGTAATTGGAAGCATTTTGTTTAAGAGTAAAGACAGCAATAAAATCCATTTGTATGTAAATCTCACCAACTCATTGCCAATAAAGTGACTCCAGAGGGTACATACCTGTTTGAAATGAATGTGTCCTGATAGCAGTGATCTTGAGACACTGTAAATGTTCATGTTTAAAAATACAGCACAGAGCTGGGGGAAAATCATTGTCTCACTGTTATTATTTTTTTTTATTGCTTTGTCCAACTACTATTTGACTACTATTGTTGTCAGTGCATTTTCCTGCTTTTTAACTTGCATGGTAATTTACACACAGTCCCTACCCCACTGATGCAAGTCACTTCCTCTCTCTCTCTCTCTCTCTCTCTCTCTCTCTCTCTCTCTCTCTCTCTCTCTCTCGCTCTCTCTCTCTCTCGCTCTCTCTCTCTCTCTCTCTCTCCTCTCTCTCTCTCTTTCTCCACCCAGCTGTAGATCAGGATACATGAATGCTGGGAAGGAGGGTAGTGGCAGAAATAAGAGAGAGAGAGAGGGAGAGGGGGTGAGAGAGAGAGAGAGAGAGGAGGAGGAGGAGGAGGAGGAGAAGGAGGTAAAAAGGCAAGACATAGTAGGACAGAGTGTGTTGGAGGGCAGCATACTGTAGCATACTGCTGTGTTGTGATTATGGAGTGAGCATGGAGCAGCAGGACCAAAACAAGAGGAGAAGGGGATACAATGAGGACACAGCTTGGCTTTATGCCTGATCAATAAAAGGTAGATTAGTTCAGAATTTGAGCATTTGCAGACTGCCTGCAGACTCCTTTGAGTTTGAATTCTACCATCAAGGGGATTTAAGATATGAAGACAAAGTCACTCTAAACCTTGAGGACCCACGAGGACATAAAACAGAAAGCGGCAAACTAGCTCCTGACAATTTGGACTCAAGAAAACAAGACATCTTGCAGCAGGATCAAATAATCACTCAGGTATGCCTGCTAAACAGAATCACAAAAGCACATATTAGGTAGCAATTCTACTGAAGCAAGAAACAGCTCTTTTCTGTAGTCCTGATCATTTAAAAAGTGTGTGGCACTGCGAAAACATGTTTCTTTGTTTTTCTCCTGTATAGTAGGATTTAATGGTTTATTAACAGGGCAGGACAGTTGTCACTTAGCGTTAGATGGCGACAACAGACATAGGTCACATGACTGAGCTCAAGTAACACTGGATGACACGAGAGCCAAATTAATAGGTGACTAAATGTCCTTTTTGCAATTTTGACATCCCTGGATGGAGGCTGCTGGGGAGGATGAAGAGGAGGAAGGATTGAAGGG